AAAAAAAAAAAAAAAAAAAAAAAAAAAAAAAAGATTCCTTCCCTGACTCCACAGATCTTGTCAGCTGTTAAGAGAGCCATACACACATGGTTGGAAGGATTCCTTTGTATCTGTCATAAACTGATTCAGAATTCAGAAGTATGAGCTTCAGTCTGCCCAACTTTTTCTATTATCGGAAAGAAATTAGGATTAAGGCCATGCTAAATTTCATAGTCAAGTGTAGTTGTCTTTGTTACCAGTTTAGCAACTTAAATACTCCAATAAAGGAAACCCTAGTCTTGGAAGTGCACCTTGAGCCCTTGAAGTCAGATATCAGGACATTGGTTCTCTCCTAGGGTGGGGAGTTATGTCAGAGGTATTATTTCAAAACTGGTTTGAAGGAGGGTTAGAAACGAAGCCCGGAAATTGAAACACATGCTTTACTCTTTAAATCTAGACGTTTGGGAATGGTGCTAGGTGAGCAGCTTTGAGCAGAACTGAAAGCATGGCCGAGAAGCCCCCACTTCTCTACGGCTTACAATCAAGTTTCAGATTTCTGTGATCTTCATGATGTGATCGAGAAACTGAATATCTCACTGGCGAAATAACAGCTTAAGAAAATACAAAGAGAAAGCCATACGCCGTTACCCGTTTACTTTTTATTCAGTAGTTCACTTCTGCGCTAATCCTGGAGTCTTCGAATCTTCAGACACCAGAGAGGGAATCGTTTATGAGCTATAGCTATACACAGTTATATGTTAAAATTGACACACTATTTTTTTTTTTTTGCAGTAACTTTGAGTATTGTTTTTCTACACTGTGAGAGGTTTTAAGGAACTTCCTGAGAATTTTGATTGTTTTAAAAAGGTCCCTCTGGTTTCCAAGTATTTACCCAAAGGCTGGGTAGGCAATGCAGGCAATTACCCCTCCCCCATTTTCCTCGCATGTAAATTTACAATGTGTTTATTTCTCACTGAGGGAAAATCCTTTCCCCTCGCGGTTGTCTATGTGGGAGCATTGTTCGGCGGAGCTTCTTGTCTTCCAGCACACAAACCAGAATCACACATTTTGCTTGTCAATGAAATGTCATTAAAATAGAAAACATTGTATATTCTTTAAAACGGCCACCACCCCTGCAACGGTCTGCCCTCCGTCCGCGGCGCCGTTTCCCCCAGCGGGTGGGTCCTGCCAGGTGGGCCATGGGTTTGGAGCCGAGGGAAGCCGCGGGCGGCGCCGGGACGGTCGGGCCCCCGGGACAGGAGGCCTTCAGAGTCGGCTTCCGCTCCCTCTAGCTCCGGGGCTGGAGCCCCGCCGCGCAGCGCACTGGAAGCTCCAGGGCCGGGGGCGTGGCCCTGCCCGGAAGCGAGCCGGGGGCGTAACTGTAGGGGGCGTGGCCAGGCTCGGGCGCGCAGGCGCCGTCGGGCGGCGTGGTGCTGAGTGGCCATGGCGGCCACGTTCTTCGGTGAGGTGGTGAAGGCGCCGTGCCGAGCTGGGACTGAGGAGGAGGAGGAGGAAGAGGAGCAGAGCAGGCGGGACACGCCGGAGGACCGGGAGGTCCGGCGACAGCTGGCGCGGAAGAGGTCAGGCTCCGGGCAGGCCCACTCCGCCGGGCGGGCGGGCGAGCGTCACCCGGGACACCGACTCCCTCCATCCACCCCACGCTTGAGGTCACACCGTGTGTCAGCCAGCGGGAAGCTCTGTATTTAAACACACAGACGCCAGGTCTCCTACGCAGCTCCAGTCACGGCTCTCCCGCTGCCTCCCCGAAGCATGCTGTTTTTATTACTACACGTCTATTTTGTGTGTGTGTGTTTGGGGCCAGAGGTTGAAGTTGGGTGTCCTGTGGCTCTTTCCACCTTCTTCCTGGGACGTGTCTCATTGAACGCAGAGCTCACTGTTATTCTACACTGGCTGGACCCCAAGCCCTAGGGAGTCTCTCGTTTCCCCGTGGGTCCAGGGTCGTCATGCTTGTTTTGGCAACTTAGGACCTTCCCAACCCTAAGTATGCGAATCACAGATTTTCAACATCATACCAGGCCATAGTCAAACTCACCTAGTTTTTCCAGATATTCTATTTTCCAGCGGCTTGCACCAACTACAAACCCTTTCAACAGTTCATTTCGTTTTCTTCAGCGCCCTCTTCATTTTTCACTCCTGTGAGCCCTGATTTGTCCGATGGTGTTCCCATGCAGCCATTTACCGTGTTCACTCCTCATCTGCATTTGCCACAACTAAATGTCTGGACGTTTTGCTGGCAGGAGTGTTTGACCTGCTTTTAGTTTTTTTTGGGTCTCTGTTTGGCTCTTAGGGGTGCTGGCATGGCTGTGTCACGGGGACAGTATGAAGTTTGCAGTAGTTTTGCCCGCTGATTGAGGCTGCTCTTCCTTTAAGACTGTAGTGTGTATTTTATAAAAGGACAGCGTGTACCTTGTTCATTTGTAAGGACACTCTCATCTAAGACCGTATGTCCATCCATCTATGCATCTCCCACACATCCATCCACCTGTATCTTCTCTCACCCATCCATAAATGTTTACATGTGTATGCGGCACCTGCCTGCCACCTGTCTACATGAATGTCTGTGGCCCTTCTGTGTCTCATCTGTCTCTCCTCCATCCATCCGTCTCTACATAGTATATCATTTATTCTTCGTCAGTCTGTCTGTCATCCTCCCCTTTGTCACCCGTCTCTCACAGTGTGAAATACTTGTTGACTTTACTCTCGTCTCTTGTTAGGGAGGTGCGGCTTCTCCAAAGACAGACAAAAACATCTCTGGAGGTTGCACTGCTAGAAAAGCATCCCTGCTCCAAGTTCATAATCGCAGTAGGAAGCAATGCAACAGGTAAGTGCCAGCACCAAGACAGATGTGCTGTTGAAGAATGGAGTAGGAGGGCGGCTTAAACTCCACGTGCTGACACCTTAGAGAGGTCACGACCTGCTGGGCGGTGGTGGTGGCACACACCTTTGATCCCAGCACCTGGGCGGCCGAGGCAGGTGGATCGCCCCTCTCTCTCTCTCTCTCTCTCTCTCTCTCTCTCTCTCTCTCTCTCTATCTGACTTATTTGTTATGTATACTGTGTTCTGCCAGGAGAGGGCACCAGATCTCATCATAGAGAGTTGTGAGCCACCATGTGGTTTCTAGGAATTGAATGCAGGACCTCTGGAAAAAACAGCCAGTGCTCTAAACCTCTGAGCCATCTCTCCAGCCTGGCAGATCGCTTTGAGCTCTAGTCTAGTCTGGTCTACAAAGTGAGTTCCAGGACAGCTAGGACTGTTAAACAGAGAAACCCTATCTCGAAAAGTCAAAAAAATTTAAAAAAATGAAAAATAAAAAGTCATAGCAGGTGCTGGGCATGCAGCCCAGGTGGTAAAGTGCGTTCGGTACCCAGCACCGTATAAGCTGGGCATAATGCAGTCTGAGCACTCAGGAGGCAGAGGCAGTAGAGGGGAGTGTGAAAAAGTTTCAAGGCCAACCTGGGCTACCTGAGGCCCTGTCGTAAACAGTCACAGTAATGTATTTCAAGTAAAGTAGAGTGCCTGCTCCTTCCATCTTTGTAATAAACAAAAAATGAGGTTTGAAGGAAGTATGCTTCGCTTCAGAATTAGAATTCAAGGCCCCATTTTCCAGTCTGAGGGTGTCCATTGGTCTGTCAATAATTGCAAACACTTTGGAGCACTATAGTTCTAAGGTCTGTGAATGCATTTATTGACCTGGTAGAGTCACAGTAGAGCAATGTGGGTTTAGATGCAACAGCGCTGTGTATCAGTACACGTGGAGACCTTTATATTTTCAGTGGCTTTTGAGCTATAGTTAAGAGACCTTGCCCTTGTAAGGTAGCCATTGTACTTAGAAGTGTAAGTAAGCAATGGGTAGCTGTTCACCCTTATGTAAAGGTCTGCTGGCCTAAGTTTTAATTATCCATTTATTTATTTATTTTTGTCTTTTTGAGATGGATTTCTCTGTTTAGCCCTGGCTGATCTGGAACTCTCTCTGTAGACCAGGCTGGTCTTAAACTCTCAGCCTGCCTCTCTCCTGAGTTTTGGGATTAAAGGTGTGCATCACTCCGGCCCAGTTTTTTGAGGCCCAAGTGTATTAGAACGGTGTTAGGATGTGAGACGGGCATAGAGTCTGTGCACAAGGCTGTCCTTCCTGTTCCTGGTTGTCGTGTCTGGAAGATGGAGGATTTCATTCCTTGGCCTCAATTTTTCTTTTCTTTAAAATGGACCACCAATTAGACCAGTGGTTCTCAACTTGTAGATCACACTCCCTTTAGGGGTCAAACAACCCTTTCACCGGGTTACATTATCAGATATTGCATTACAATTCATAGCAGTAGCAAAAAATACACTTATGAAGTAGCAACGAAATAATTTTATGTTGGGGTGTCACTATAACATGAAGAACCGTATTAAAGGGTTGCACATTATGAAGGTTGAGAACCACTGAATTAGACAGTCATTAAATGTTTTTTAAGAGGTTTTCAAAAGAAATTCAATTATGTATATATGTCTACAAGATTACAGGCTAGGGGAAGGCATCAGATCCCCTAGAGCTGGACTTATAGACATTGTGTGTCCCCAGAGGTGGGTGCTGGGAACCAGGCAGAGGCTTGATAGGTGCAGTACTTGATCTGATCCGTCTCTCCACTCCCCAGTTAGATGGTTCTGAATGATTATTTCAGCTCTAAATTCTGGGGTAACGAGTAGGAAATGCAATTTGCATAGCCAGACACCAGTTCATATGAACATTTTTTCCCCCACAGCGTTTTTGTCATCGTTTGTTATGAATTCAGGAGTGTGGAAAGAAGTTGGCTGTGCTAAGCTCTGGAACGAATGGTGCAGAACAACGGACACTGTCCATCTGTCCCCTACAGATGCTTTCTGTGTGTTCTATCAGCTGAAATCAGACCCCTCGGTATGTGGGCCTCCACTCAGTAGTCTCAAAGCATAGTCGTTTGTGCATGAGATCCAGG